TTTAGTGGACTATCGATTTTTCCGTATTTCCAGCGACACGACCGAGCAACTAGTTTCTCGATGGTATCTGGAAACGCTTTCCAGCGAGGCCGCGTAACAGATCTTATCGCGCTGCGATGCCTTATCTACACGTGGATCACGAAAATATCGCTCCCGCGACCTATTTTCCGTCCGAATCGAAACTTCGATCTGGCTGGATCGCGCTTGGCCGCGCGCAATCTATTCGTTTGAACCGCATACGTACGTATGACTAACGTCCTGTCACGTTTCAGGCAGTTCCCGTTGATTCGACGGCATTAACCGACAAATGATTCAACGTGTCCAGACGATTACATCGCGGGTAATGATAGAAATCAGGAAGTTTTAACGCTAACCCGCCGTAATCGTTGACGGCTCAAAAAAGTATCGTAGAACGTGTCACCGTTTCGCGGAACTCGGTTCTTGTCACGACGGAGAACCGTACGTCGTATCGGGCTCGTTTCGCGAGGCAATGTTCGATGACTTTTGATATTTAATCCACGAAGACAAGCAGCGCACAACCGTGGCGCTTTCCCTCGCAAGAAACCGAAGAGCAGGGCCCCCCGTAGTTGCGTTGCGTAATCCCGCGTAATGCGCCAGGCTCCGTAACGCTGCTCGATCGTGCTGAAAACGTTGCCAGCGATCGGCTCGACGGCCGCGGATGATCGAGCCCTGGAAAATCGAAAATCGCTGGGTTCGAAGCGACGATCGATTCGCGACGGGGCACGCGATCCGGGGAGTCGAACGGTTTCCTCGAGCTGCCGCCGCCAGCTGAAAACGAAAGTCATCCGCTCGCGACTACGGCGAAGCTCTTCGTGACCTTGATCGTAGACTCTTTTCCAGTTCGTCGTTGTTTATCGCGTCGTTCGAAGAATCGCGATAAATTAAATCGATTAGGAATTTGACAGGAAATTACTCACTCGTGTTTTATCTTCGATCTGACGACGGAAGGATTAGTCCGACCGCGTCCAAGTTCTGAGAGCTGTTTAAAGAAGAATCACGTGTATTCTGTTAGATTGGTGCACAGCGATAAAATGTCTTCTCTTTCCAGAATCGAATCGTACAGTGACACTGAGATGTTTGGTAAGTGTATTTGTTTTTTTTTATTGTTTTTTTTATTTCAAGGAACGGTGTCTCGCGTGCACCGAGCTAGCAGAAACGCGGGACGTGTCGGTATCTCCGCCTGAAAGGAAGCTGCGTGGTGTGGTCGGGCGTGACCTTGAGAACGCACTCTCGTCACCCTTGAACGTGAACCACGGGTCAGCAAAAGTACAGTTGTACGCTGCTTAACCGATACATGCACTTATCCTCTATGGTACTCGAGCGCTGAAAGGCGGGAGTTGCTATAAGTACATGCAAACCGAGCTGGAAATAACTCCGGGCTCGTCGTCTACGCTCGCGTCGCAAGGACGGAAACATCGATTCGAGAAGATCCCCGGGGCTAATTAAAGCGTTTCTCGTCCTCGCTCCCTGCGAATCGATTGCTCGCTCGTTCGTGTCCCGTCTCGCAACGGAATTCCGATCTGTCCCGCCGCGATCCGTCGTCCCGTTGGGAACGTCACCGGGCGACCGAACCGATTGTGCGAAACAGGTCTGTCTCCAGGAGCTGACGCGATGGCGCCGCGCGACCGGAAGTTCCTCTGGAGCACGACGTACCTGAGTACGCGTCCGAGTTGTCCTACGTGACTCGACGAAACACGTCACTCTCCCCCTTCGACGACGATCCTGTGTTCGACACGGCCGATGAAAAAAGGGCAAAAACAAAAATTTAATCGGATCGCCCTCGATCGTTCTTCATCCACGTGGTACCTCGAGTCTACCCTCCACCCCTTGTTCTTCAGAACATCGTTCTTCTTCGATCCCTCGCCGAGCAACGGAAAGAGGGACGGACATGCTCCGTTCGCGACTGGGGATCCTATGGTAAGAACGAGGCTAGGGGTTGCAGTCGACGCCATCTAGCGACTCACCGTTAGAACCGGGGGGTAGTTCGTCGAATCGGTTTCTTTTCTGTTTCGCTTCGTCCCATGCACGCGAGTTTTCTCGGTCGTGAAACTAAAGCTCAACTGAAGTAGCAAAAACGGGCCAGAAATCGGTAGACAGAATCGGGGTATGGTTGTTGCATAGAGAGAGGGGGGGGTTGGGGTGAATGCATGCTATTAGTAATAGTGAAGACGTACCCTGTACCAAGTGGCCACCTGCGAGGCGCTCGAAAGGGGTGGAGAAGCGATGGTATATCCGCGACGCAACACACCGGAGGTGGAGGGTGAAGGTCGGGCCCGAGGGCGCGATTTTTGTATAGTTTCGTTCGATATTGGTCGGTCGAATATCGCGCGTTGCGTGTCACGCAGTACGGGGGTGCGTTCGAAGAGGCGGGCCCCAACAAGACGATAGCACAGTGGTGAAGTGGTGGTTGGTGGTGGTTCGGTGGTGGTGGCGGGTGTAGTAGTGTATTCGCACGCCCCGTGCAAATGTGAGGCAAAAGCAAAAACAACAACAACAACAACAACACCACAGGTCAGAAAAATATACACGATTAAAATTGTCAATGGACACTCGCGTGTCCTATGTGCACAAGTATTAATTATTAATACATAATATATACATACATGTGAATCCTTCCCATGTACATACACACGCGGGGTGTAACAGAAATAGATGGATAAAGTCAGTACTGTACTTTACCTACCTTAACGACGAAACAGCTCTAGTATGCATGAGTTTGACAAATTTTCCTTTCCGACATATGTAAAGTTATCCTCTTTACTTTCTTACTGTTAACAATAAGTATTTTCACGAGATAGAGAGTCTAAGTCGGCAGGTAAATTGATCGTAAACCATCGCGATGAAAATGTTTGTGTGTCGGAGAAGTTACAAAATTCCAAACTCACGTTTCACGTGTCTTATTTTTATCCTTATGAAAGGTAAAGTACGCTCCTCTAAAATTCTCCATCTATTTCTGGTACGTTTATCGATTCGTATACTTTTAGATGAACAATGAACATGTGTGCGTACAGTGTCAGTGCGTGTGTAATCTTGCCGCGAGTACACCTCGGAACTGGTTCGATGACTCTGGGAAACCTCGTCGACGCGAGTATTCCCATAGTTTCGTGGACACCTTGCGCACTCCTTTCGTCGACGAAAACGGTTTCAAGGTTTTAGATGCGTACGGTACTGCCTCTCGAGGAGTAACGAACACTTGGGGTTTGGTATCGGCGCACACGGGCGAACCGTGTTCGAGAGTAAATACCGATTGTCTGCTCGAACAGGACGGTCGACCACGCGCAGCGCCGATTAATAGGGTAGCCAATTATCAATAAAGGCGAAAGTCCGGGTGGAATGCAGGTGAACGTATCGGTGGCAACGGTAAGTCGATTGCGGCTGCGAATATATGTATATCCCGGGCACTTTGCGCAGCGCGCACGCCGAGTCCACAACGAGATCGAACCCCGTTTCAGAACGCCTTTGTCGTTCGTCATCGAACTCGTTCCGAGAACAAGATATCTACTGTAGAGAAGGGGGGAGGGGAGGTAGTTCTCAAGCGGAAAACTGGACGGGAGGTGTCCAGGAAAGCGACAGATATTCGTTAGGAGAACGGAATAAATCCTTTCGGTAGAAAGTGTACACGTAGCGATCTGTACATGCAGATCCGTGAATTTCACTCGAGTTTTCCAGATCGTTGGATCAATTTTGTGCGCGTTCGTTTCGTTCGCGAGCGGTCGACTGGGCCGAATTGTAAATCTCGTGGGAAGAAGGGAGGAATAGAGAAATCTTTGACGCGTGATAGAGAATAGAAGTTTCGTTAGGGAGTCGTTAGAGGGTTGTTACGCGTAGCGCGCCATCGTTTCAGCAGATCCTGGCGACGCGCGTGGAAATTCGTCGCGTAAGACGAGGGAAGTCCGAAGGGAAACGGGAACTGAGAAAGAGGGAAGTCGGAAAAAGAGTGAAGAGCGTGACAGTCTGATACGAAAGCAGAAGCCACACACATCGGTAGGTATCTTCTAGTCTCTATTTTGTCTAGGGATATAGATAATATACTGGGCGCGTACGTGTACGTGTCTGTTTTTGTCAGTGGCGGGTGCGACTAATATGTAGGCTCTTGTGCGATCTCGAAACTCCCTGGAGCCGGTCGGACATGGTCGCGAGGCCCCGCAGGACCTTCGATTTGCATGTTCCTTCGGTTCGTTCGTCCGGTATAAATTTCGCGGGCAACGCGCGTGTGCCTCGTTACTCCTCCGGAGTATGTACATATCTCGATAAATAAAAGCAAGACGGTGGTAGAACCGCGAGAGCCGCACGGTAGCGTTTCTTTCTCTCGGGTGGAGAGATCTCTTAATCCTGCGGGGCTTCGTGACTTTCCGTGGGGCTCCAGCTACGACTGCCGATGAAAAAAGAGAACGAAGAGCCGGGAAGCCCGATCTGGCCTTGCCTCGGGTGTCCTTTGCCGCGCGCCGCTCCGCTCCACTCCGCGTGCAGCTTCTTTCTCCTGCAGTTTCGCGAAATCAGCATACAACGTGGCAGACCGTCGTACGACTTCTGTGTGTACACTTACGAAAAAAGGCCCGACGCGATCGAGTCCTTGAAAGGGAACTCGTGACCGATTACCGTTCGCGGGTCGGGTCTTCGATCGAAATGAATCGTGATGGGCTTCGCGTGTAATCCGGGGTTACCGCGAAGCACAAGGACGACTATAATTTCTGCGAAGCCCGGTGGTCCGCGGGCATAATTTTTCGCCGATCCGCTTCTCTTCACGATTCGTTTGAGTATCCTGTCGAGGATTCCCGAAGATACACTGTAATTTGACGAGCAAATTAGACGATCCGTGGCAATTAGGCGATCGACGGGGAACAATCGCACGGGTATGGTGGACACACACATGTACGTTTCCCGGCTCTTCTCCAGTTCATCCACCATGGACGTTCGCTAATGGATTCTCGTGAATAGTGAGTAGGAAGTGACTCGACGGAAGGGAGAGTCGTGCTTACCTTGGGCAAGGATGCCAGGCATTGCTGCTTCACGTCCCAGACGAGCTGATCCTTGGGGAACTGAAGACACTTGCTGACGTACAGCTCCGGGACGTGCACCCTGGCGAGAAGGACTCCCTCCTCGACCGGGCCGGCCTCCGCAGTTGCAGCCGCGACTGCAGCAGCATCTTGATTTTGCTGACCTTGAGCTTGGCCTTGAGTCTGGCCGGCTTGCGGACTCGTGGCCTGGGTCGGAGTCTGTCCCGTACCAGCGGTCGACGAATTTTGCTGTTGCTGCTGCTGCTGTTGCTGTTGTTGCTGTTGCGACTGCGGTTGCTGCTGCTGCTGCTGTTGCTGCTGTTGCTTCGGTCCCGCCTCCATTGCGAGGACCTCGCGCTACTCGGGGTTTCCACCTTCACAGGCTCACATCTGAAATGGAAGATCGGCGCTCGTTAATGAACTTTATTGCCAGTATTTCTCGCAGTTGTGTATTTCAATCTAGCATCGGTGAATGTGTCGATTGAACAAACTTTTATCGTTGGGATAGTATCGTGATAAAGAGTAGATTTAAAAATTGCAATAGGAAGAAATCTGGAATTAGAAAAGGAGCATTTTAATATCCAAAGTGCTTCCTATGCAGCTTGAACAAATATTTCACCCTCGGTACGTTATATTTTTTTGTCTTTCTTCTACATTCTTGAGACGATCATTATCATGGGTACAGTTAATAAGATTTGGAAGATTGTTAAAAAGTTACTGTTCCAAAACTGAAGGTTTTCCATACAATTGAATGTTGCCGGTTACCGGTGACCACTATGGCATTCAACGCGTTAATCGACTGGTTCGGTGCCATTACTACCGTCAAGGTGTGTAGTGGGGATATCTGCAATCTGGAAAAAGATCTCGAGGAACGACGACTGGAGACACCCGATGTGGACGGAGGGAAGTGGTTTGATGGAAATGAAGAAATTAAAACAGCCAGGGACTCGCAGTTTGTAACTCCGACGAGTAACGGTAAGGGAAGGACCAGATTACCGCAATGGAAATAAAGAAATGGCGCCGAGACGCCGCGGCGATTTTTTAACGCTCGTAAAAGCCTTTTATGCCTCGTGGCCTGGCCGCGCCTCGATATATTTTTTTATTCGAGCCCCCTCTATACTCCTCGAGTTACACAATCCTGTCGTTTACATTGAACTTTATGGACTCGAATAATCTATTTACGCGAAGCTCCTAATACGAAATTTCAATTTGAGTAAAACCCTCGATGCCTTATTCTGTCTTGTATCTCGTCACTTCCTTTTTCTCCCTCTCTATCTAGTATTTAGCAGCATTCTGTCTCCTCGACGTAAATTTAAGATAATTGTATAATTTGATTCGGTTTCAAAGCAGACAGATACACCTCCCGACAATTGGCTTTGTCGACGCGCCAATTGGATGCACATTGCCCAATTGCCGTGGTCTTAAATTCTAATTCCGTTAACCTAAAATCTAAACCTTAACCTTAAATCCTAAAATCTTGTGTTGTGAACTGACTATCCAAATGTTTAGCATCGCGACAATACTGTGATCAAACAGATTTGTTTGAGCATTCGCCGATAAGAATACAAATAGTTACACGTTGACGTGTATGTATAGTCATTATTTCGACAAGATTAGTTCGAATGGCTTTTTCGTATAATGCACGTAGCGTCGATGATCGGTGACCACCTGACCCGACAATAGCTTAATACATCTTGAAAGGATTTCGCCATTTCGGAATACATACACCCTGAAATCGAGAAATAAAGTAACAAAGACATGAAAAGAAGTTAATTTCCGTGTGGTCGAAGGCATCGCTCCGAGTGGTCCGCGCGCGGTCGCAGCGGTACATTCGACTCCGATGGGATTACGAGGCTCGTTCTTCGTTGCGTGATCGAGCAGGAACTCGACTCGTCGGGATACACGCGACGAATCGATTATGCAGTCGCGGCGCGTTCGCGTTCTCCGCGCGTTTTCGCGCGTACCTGCTGGAGAGGGCCGCCTCTCGCTGACGCGATAACACAGCTCGTCGTTTTACAATACGACCTCCGACCTCCGGAGGTTAACTGTCGGTCAGCGATAACTTACGTCCTAACGAGCGCCGCGACTCGACTCGACGCGAATCGACGCGACGCGCCTCGCACAGAGGAGTCGCTTTCACTCGAAACTTTCGAACAGATATAGTAAACGTCGGGGGCCCTCGCAGCAGTCGCATCGCGTCGAATCGCATCTCCTCGCCACGCAGCGGGATTAACGTCCGCGGGATGCGTGCGTGGATCCTCCGGGGGTAACGTATGTACAATTCGCCACGCAGCTGCACCGTATCGATCGGCCGATTCCCCGCGCAATTATGTAATGCGTGAAATAATCGCGGCAACAAACGGACACGCGATACCCACGATCATTCGGGATTATACTGTTTGGAGTAGAGCTCCGGCAGGGGTTAGGTCGCCACGCAAACGGACGGGGAACGCCACTTTTTGTAAATATATCGAGTTCGCGCGTAAACAATTTCTAAGTGTAATAGTGAGGAATTTTAATCTAATAAAGTCACTTCATTATTTTTCCTAAGCAATCTATGCAACTGAGAAAAAATGAATATTTGAAATAGTAGCGCAGGTACTGGTACGCTTACGGTTGTCAGTGGATTAACAGTCTCCTTCTCATAGTAGTCATTTGTTGATAACATGCCTTTGGTGCAGGTTTTCTGATATTTCTGAATGTACCGACGGAAGTTCTTTCGTGAGAATTTGTCGAGTTCCTTTGACGTATTTGATTTAACTACGGAGGTCAATAAAAGAGTACCTACTAGTAATTCATCATTGAAAATTATGATTACGTATCTTGTATCGATGATAGATAGTTGATTCGAGTGTTCAAATTTGTTGGAGTGCTGTAACGATAACGGAAAAAGACAGGACAGCCTTGACTTATCGAAAGTGACATTGTTAACTGACGATTTTCTTGTCGATATAAACACTCAGATAGTATCTCAACGGTTAATCCATGTGAAGCAAAAACGGAGAACACGTGCTGAGGGTTGACACAATTAAAATAAATGCGACTGTTCAGCAGATTCTTACGATAGAACTTCTAACGACGTTTCTGTAAATGACCAAGAGCGCATGCTACCATAAGGGATCTACTCTCAAGAAAACTTCTTAGTATACTTTTGTAACTTATTAGTAGCTCATGTAATTCATAACTCACGCGTTTCAGATTGGAAACGAGATCAATGACCGAGAAAATGAAATTTTATGATTTTCAAATTTTCGTAGCCAAAAAATTAATGTTTGTACGTTCATACAACCCCGTCCGTTACACACAGCGAGGCTACTGTTGCAATTTTCGATTCGTTCCGAACTCTGAAATCAAATACTTCGAAGAATGAAAAGGAACGTCGTTTCTTTGCGAGGGCGAGATCACTGTCAGCTTAATGAGAGTGCAAGGCAAGTTGCATGACTCCGAGAGACTCGAGTAGTTTCGAGGCTCGTCGCGTTTCTCCGCGCATTGTCTAGACACCGAGTTTTGCTTTGTGGCAAATTCCAGGCCGGGATTGTCGGAAAATGTTTCGGGAAACAATATCGTTGCAAACCGTAAACCAGCTATTAGCTACCCAGCGTACCGCGAGCACACGCCACGAACCGACTTTCCTAATTATCTCTCCGCCTAAGTTAAACATCCACGAACGGGGAGTGTAAACAACAGCTTCTTGGGGATCCGACCGTAGACGCGACAGCTGCTTTCTATGAAACGAATAGGGAAGCGAGAGACTCACAGTGCAAAATTCTTTCTTCCGCTGTAGTTTGCTGTTCTTTATTCAAAAATGACTAATTTATCCTTATTAGTTCATGCATACATATTTATAGATATACGGGTGGTACCGTTTGGTAGATATATCATATTAACTTGTTGCGAAGTAACCTTTAGTCTATTAGTAATCGTGGACCATGTGATTGATTGATGTTTGATCAGATTAATCATGGTTATTACCGTAGTTATTGGCCAGGGACATGATTCAATCAAAGAGCAACAATTGACTGTGCAAGTTTTGATCGATGTAAAACAAGATATTCAATGGCTACACTATCAATTTCGAAATTTTCCGCTACTCCCATTGATAAGGGATTTCAATGATGAGGATTACACTTTGTACCTTGTACACTCGACACGTTTCAGAGATTTGGCATTAAGTATACAATTATAGAAAACGTCGTTCCAGAGATATCTTAACATTCGAATTTCTTACAGTGCTTAAGCTGTACTATCGGTGTTAACGTTTCCTCGGATCTATTCAGACTCGAGTATACTTCGCAATGACCCAATTATATCCGATATCCGCAGATAATAAGTATGAAATCTAAAACTACAATTACTCTACCGACTACACCGTAGAAATGTACCCTTATATGTATCATTATTATATTTATTCAGGTACACAGCTACTTTTCCAGCGGGTCTGCACTGTAATTTTCAACGATTCGTCGGCACCCCGAGCAAAACATCGAACTACAAATAAGAAAATTCTATCGTAAGGGATACAAGGAATTATCCTGTTAGAGAACTCGCAAATAAAATCGGAACAAAACTCCGGTGAACCTATAGAGGTGATCTCGGCGCATCCTGCTTTATACAGCACGGAATTCCACGCGAACGGAGCGCGAGATGTCAGGTGGCACGGGGAGAAGTTTGATGGGAAACCGCAGACGCCATTAAATGTAACCGTCTTGCCGGCAGGCCGGCTGCGTTAAAACTTTAAATAACCCACTGACCGCACCACCGTATATACGCGCGCCGTGTACGCTTCGAGGACAATAGAGCCGAAGAAGCCAGGGAAGACGGGAGTGGTAAGGGGCCGCAAGGTCGTATCCTTCGCGCCCGACCAGAAAAACGTTCATCCTTAAGGCGTTAATATTCCGCCGACCAACCGGGATTTTCTTTTTCCAACGGCGGCGCGGACCGTGGAAAGAATCTAGAGTCTGTCCCGGCTACCGAATCAACGGGCACGAAAAAGAGCGGAAACGCGAAAGAGGCGGTGTAGAGCTGGCTCGTTTCTTGCGAGTAGACCGTCACGCGATCGGCCGAGTTAATAATTTTGTTGCCACCGTATTCGCGCCTGCCGCGACCACAATTATCATCCGCAGCGTCGTAATCGATGTCGTCGCGGGACGAAGGGATTGCAAAAAATGAAAACAACGTTAATGCACGCGAAACACGAGACACCTTGACATTGCGACGAATTGCGTTCTTGGAGTCACGAGAAGATCCCACGATCGGATTGATGGGTTGTTTTTTAGTTCGAATTCGGTTTTGTTTCTACTGAAACATGATCGTAACTCACATTTTGATAATCAAACGTTGATTTCTAATATTTTAGGATTTATTAGACAGTGCTATAGGAAAGTGGAAGA